TAACATGTTGCCTCTGACGGGATTAGCAAATAACAGCAAACATTTATACATGTGTCTTCACATGTTGAACTTGAATCAATTTTCTTCGTCGTTTGATTTGGTTCTGCACTTCACAGAGGCTTTTTCGTATTTAAAAAAAAAAAACCAAAAACAGAAAAAATATAAAAATTATGTATCGCGTTGACGGCATTCGTACTGCTTGAAGCCAACAAATAACAGCAGGCCCCTCTGCTCGTTTAGCCACTGCCATATATACAAATTGGTTTTCAAATTTTCAAATTGGATCACATTTCTTACAATCGGCTTATTGACCATGAAAAAACCATAACCATAACTTGGTTGAAAAAAACATTGTGCTTTTGGCTCAGTGCAAGTGTAGACTGTGACATCTTGTTTTGGGATTACAGGTTCGCATACAATTGGAGGTGGTTGCGATTTTTAAATTTACATCAATGGTAAATAATGCTCATTATTTCATTATAAAGCTTAAAAATTTTAATTTAATTTCAATTGGAAGTAAACCTGGATCACAAAAATCATGAGGGTTTCATTAAATTTAAAAATATATATATTATTATCTTTAAAACAACAAAGTTTAAAAATTACAGCAAAAAATTTATTTAAAAAATATGCGCTAGTGCTTTGCTCACTTGGCCATTGCGAGCGGCGCAGGCAAAATGACTTTATATATTCCTTTCATGCTTAATGAGTCGTCAGCTTATCCCGTAAACTGGTATGAGGCTACTAATATTAATACTGGTATGTGCTGATGCATAGCCAAACAACAAAAATATCTACCGCTGGCATGCAAAATGGTTGGATGACGAACTAATTGAGTTCAAAAGCTAACTGGTAGAATTCTAGTTCACATTTAAATAGTAGTTTGCCCTGCTGGGTATGCACATACTTATAGCGGAACATATGTATGTAAGTATGCGTATCAAAGTTTATATGTAAACGAGTAGAAGCTTGTTAGCAAGTCATAAGCCACTCAATGCAACCGTACAAATGGGTTGCAATATTTTTTGTGTTTATTCGCATAAATATACACACATGCACACATTTAACTTCACATTACCTTGTGCTTATGTACATACATATGTGTGAATGTAGGTGCATTTTATTGTTTGGCTAAAACTGTGCCAACTGTTATTATAGCCATTATGCACTTGTTGTTAGTTAGTTAGTATTGTTTTTTTTGTAGTCTTTTTTGTATGTTACCATGCGAATAACATTATTTTCTAAATTCTTACAACAACAGCAACAACAACGAGTACGACCATTACGTGGAGCCTAACTAATATTTGCCTGTGCTCGGCTGTGTGCACAATCAAGCGCACAAATTGCCGTGTGTGACGCTTACTTTATTGTATTCTAGAGAATTTTCACAAAAGCGGTAACTGCTAAAAGAGCAATGGCCGGTTTACACATGCAAATTTCATGGAGAATTCACAGCTGACAATATCGACCTTAATTTTACCTATTTTGTATTTAGCTTTTTCTTTTCGTTTTTGTATCTCGTTAGATACTTTCGTAAATTTTTAATTTGATTTCGTTGTTAGATAACGCATGAGCTGCGTATATAACTAGGATTATTGCCACATATTCATATTCATATACATAGTACATTTCTGTAAAACCGCGTTTTTCTATTTGTTTTAAGCGAACTATTTGTTTTATATTTTTAAAATATGGAAAAACTTAATTAGGAGTATCTATCAAACTATGCGCGAATAGTGGTATACTTACCTGTTAGCCTGTTTGAAATATTATTGTGGTGGCAACGCAATGAGCGGCATGTGAGCAGCATTTGTAGGAGACAACTCGTCATATAAAAACTTAGCTCAAAGTTAAAAAATAAAAAATCTGCAACAAATGCGCTATCCCTAGTTTTAGCTATTGGGAGCATAGATATTGGAGAGCATAGAAAAGCCCTATCTCACATCGTGGCTGAAATATAAAAAGCCGTAACTATCTAGATATTCAAAATTCACTTTTTTATGGATTATAATACATATCATCGAATTATAAGTCCCCATATCGTTTTAAGCAATAAAGAAAAATTTAGTTATTTACGGTTTTTTGCATTTCAACGACGACTATATGAGTTAGGACCTTTCTATATTAAGGTAACGACATGTATTATGTATATTTGGAAATACTGTGACCTGCACTTTTAAAGAAATGGGAAGTTAACTCACGGTTGGCTATTAAAAAGTTAAAATTTTAAAGCTCCTAAAAGATTTTTTTTCGCTGTCGAGTTATTCATATCGAGCCCTAACCGCCAAAATAACGTAAGCGACATTTTTTTCAAATTTTTATTTTTCATGCGGAAATATTCCTAATATTAACGGCCGCTGTGGTATAGTGGCAAGCAGTGCGCGCTTCCACTCCGCAGCGCCTGAGTTCAAGCCCTGGTCAAAGCAACATCGCAAAAAGTATAGAAAAAAGGTTTTTTCTTAACAGCGGTCGTCCCGCGGCAGGCAATGGCAAACCTCAAACACTAACATATGTGTAAGCGCCAATCTATTATTATTATTATTACATAGATGCATTTCTGCATCAAATTTTCCAAAAAAATACTTATTTTCGCAAAATTTTTATCCTAAAAAATAAACGTTTAAGAGTGTTTATTTTTTCTAAACATAATTTTTTCCCTCAAAAAATATTTTGAGACGGGAAAGTAATTTTATTCTACCAAAAAAAAAAAATTGTTTTTATGTTTGGTAAATTTTTTCTACGTTGAGCCTATTTCTCCTAAATTAATTTTTTGTATTTATGATACGTAATGCACAATTTTCTTACAAAAATAATTTTTGCGTAAAAATTAAATCAAAATAGGTTTTTCAAAAAATATGTACTTACTTTTCTTAAAAAAAATAAAAATAAAAATAAAAATTTAAGCAATATTTCTTGTTTCTAATGTTTGGTAAATTTTTTTTGAAAATGAGTAGACATACATATTTCTTTCCTCAAAAGCTTTTCTCCTAAATAATTAATTTTTTTTTTAATATTTTTTCTTAGAACACAATTTTTTTTATTAAGTAAAAATTCTCCAATAAAAATTCATATTTCGATAAATTTTTATAATTTTCAGAAAAAAAAATTGCTGAAATTCTAGAGGAAAATATTTTAATGAGGTGCATCCTCAAAATAAAAAAAAAATATATATAATTACTGAAAACTCATACAATAATAGGTACGTTTCCCTTGGTCCTGAAAGTGTAAAATTTCAATCTATAGACTAAAAGCTATCGAGCCCTGTCCACAATCGCAAAGGACCCCACAGAATTCATATGGGAAATGACTTTCGGCTAATTTCCTTCAAATTTTGCAAGATGTGTAAAAAAGTTCGTATTTGACAGGTTGTCGCTCGTAAACTAAGAACCTCAGAGCATTGGACTTATGGAGACTTTTGTTCTACGTATTAAGGACTTCTGAGTAATATACAGGGTTTTTCGTTCTATAGTGGGTCCAGTTTGGGCTACTAGGAATTTAGATAAAAACCTGAAACTTACTTTTTCTCTTATCTATAAATGTTGTTATCAAAATCAAGAAAAAAAAGCGACATTTTGTTTCAAAATTTTCGTTTTGATGCAGAAATGTTGCATTAGGGCTCGATATAATGGGACCACAAATACTTTTTAAATTACGAAAAATGTGTGCCATTTTAAAAATACTATGTGGAAGCGAATTTAATAAAAAAAAAATATCTTAACATAATGGGAAAGCTGCGGAGAAAAGATGCTTTAACAAATTGTCAAATTTCTTTAGTTTAAATACCTACTTAGTTACATATAGTTCCAAAGATTTTCCTACGATTTGATAATTTTCTTGGATTATTTTGCTTTCTCTTCTTAGGCTCAATACTCTGTACAAAATTACCATAGAATTTAGCGTACGTTTTTAAAGTAATTTCGTACTGTTTTGGTCAGGCAGGCTCATCACATTTGTTTTTCATTTATTTTCTACAGCGTACGTCGCATTAAAAGGCATATCAAACAACTGAAAACCTTTTTTTCATCGTTTTCTTTCTTTTTTAATTGCAGTGCTCAGCATCGAAGGTGTTAATTTAGTTTTACCGCGGGTAAAGCGGCAGCATATGGGCGCCTATCTTTGCATAGCATCGAATGGTGTGCCGCCATCAGTGAGCAAACGAATAACGCTGATTGTACACTGTAAGTAATTATGTGATATTTTATTAAAAGAAAATTTAGGCATTTGATTATGAGAAATTTTAAGTTTATTAACGTCACTCATACGTCCTGGTGTCCTTTGATACACCTATTCTTTTATATAGTACTAGCAAATGCCCGCTTGCTTCGCGGCGCCTAATCTCTTTAAAAACAATTAAAAGAGAAAAGTAAAGATTTTTAGTTTTAATTGAAATGACTAAAAATCGGAATCCTCCTCACACATATGCCGAGAATAGTATCGCTGTGATTCCATATGGAATACTAACCCCTTTCGGTGTAATGCGTTTTACCTGCGGTCTTATTTCCACCTGGGAGATCTCTGCCCAGCGTGCGTAATATTCTTCTATGATACTGCAACTTCAGCATTGGTCCGGTGTACCATATAAGCCAATAAAAGTCCTTATACGGAAACTCAAGAGCACAGATGAGCGTTTTTAATCACAGGAGGGCCAAGAATCCTCGCTGCCTCACAGGATGATGTTTTCGCGTTGAAATGAAGCCATTGATATACCTATCGTGTTCCTTCTTGGGCAGATGTGGTCGAATATTTCCTTGTCAATTCGCCACTTTTACAATTCGTATTAATACTTATGAATTGGTTCCTTTGAGTCTTACTGCTGTAACAACGACCGCCTCGAGCAACTTCGTCAATCAGAAGTAGATGCAAGATCACACTTACACAGTGTTACGGTCTTTAAATGCATACTTAAACGCATCCTTGCTTTAGCCAACGGAAAAGTAAATTCGTCTAAGATAAACATAGGGCCAAAGCAGAACAAACCCAGTGGGGGTTTCTATATATTTCGGGTGCAGCGTCATCCATTAGGTCCCTTTTCTGCAAAACCTTTGCTTGTCATGAAATGAATACGGATTATGAAATGCAATCAGATTTTATAAAAAATACGGATTTTCTAAATACCTAAACTCCGGCGGGTCCACTTTTAGCAAAGGAATTTTTCATCATACATACGATGCGAATTTGAACGAAATCTGTTAATAAATACTTTTATAAGTAACTCTACTCCAGCGCCACCAACGTGTTTTCTAGTAGCCTATAATAGGACCTCCGACAATTTGACTGGGCTCTATTGAGTGGTTTTTGAGTTTAGTCCGAAAAACGGAAATGGCTATCATTTTATGTATGTAATCTTCCTTATCCTGAGTTTCGTCCGAGAAAAAAATTCACGCGAAATGTAAGTACATAGAAACCCAAAGCGAAAAGTGAACCGATTCAGGGAAGATGAAAAAAATCATCATGAAAGTAATAAACGTTTCGAATGTGTATTAACAAAATACGTTCATACATACGGCTTTTATAAATAACTCGACTCCCGCGCCACCTAGCGGCTCCGTTTTTGGTAAACGTAATTTTCCGAGTTTTCTGGTAGCCTATAATAGGACCATATACGCAGGGTATAACCTCTGAAAATTTGACTGAAATCTATGTAGTAGTTTTTGAGTTAACTCCGAACAACGAAAACGGCTATTATTTTATATATTTAGAAGAAGATATGGTACAGCACTGCGTATGAGTGACTTTAGTTGTTTTAGCTGCATGGGACAATCTAGCTCAATCAATTTAGCGGCACTGAAATGAAAAATTGAAGAAAAAATTCGTTCGTATTATTGTGCTCATTGTGTGCTATTATCGGCCACTTTTGGTTTTTTTTGGGCTCCGACCATTTGGTAAATAATTAAGACTTTGCTAAGTTAACCGTAACTTAGCAAAACATTCACTCAATGAAGTCTTTTTACTACTTATTTGGGCTAATTTTTTTGGGCTATTTATGTGCTTTCAAAATATTTCCCAGTAAACATTGAAAACCCGCTTGACGTCACGCTATCTGGCCCACTTTTTAAACTTTGGTCGAACACTGATAAATATTATTAAGGGATTACGTGCTATTTTTGGGCTTTTTAGAGTCACCAAAATAATTATAGCAGCTCTTCCAGTTTCCGAGATAATTAAGACTTTGCTGGGTTAACTGTAACTTAGCAGAACAACCATCCAGACTTTTTACTGCTTATCTGCTTTTATTATTTTGGGCTTTTGCAATATGTGCTTTGCAAATATTGCCCGTTGAACATTGAAAAATGGCTAAAAATATTGGCCAGTAAAAATCGAAAAATCGCTTGACGTCACGGTAGCCGACCATCTTTTTAAACTTTGGTCGAACACGGATAAATATTGCTGAGGAATTAGGTGATATTTAGGGGCTTTTTAGGGCCGTCAAAATTATTTAAGGTGCTCACTCCGGGATAATTAAGACTTTACTGGGTTAAATGTAACTTAGCGAAACATCTACTAAGTGAAGACTTTAACGTTTTAAGTTTATAAACAACTGTCAAGTGTACTCATTGGGGTGTTTAATAAACTCAGAGTTTAATTTGACATTTGTTTGTTTACTTTTTTTTATTCACATTTAGCCTGTTCCCGTACTCAAGGATTTAGACAGAAATAGTCCGAAGTAGCCGTGGTGCAGAATACCAACCGTTTAGACATAAAGTAATAAAAAGCGTAGCTAAATAGAACTTTTCATGTCAATAATATTTATCCGTGTTCGACGTCAAGCGATTTTTCAATGTTAACTGGGCAATATTTTTAGCGAACTTTCAATGATCAACGGGTAATATTTGCAAAGCACATAAAAACCCCAAAATAATAAACCCAGGTAAGCAGTAAAAAGTCTTCACTGAATGGATGTTCTGCTAAGTTACAGTTAACCCAGCAAAGTATTAATTATCTCGGAAACTGGAAGAGCTGCTATGATTATTTTGGTGACTCTAAAAAGCCCAAAAATAGCACGCAATTTTTCAATAATTGTTATCCGTGTTCGACTAAAGTTTAAGAAGTGCGCCAGATAGCGTGACGTCAAGCGGGTTTTCAATGTTTACTGGGCAATATTTTGAAAGCACAAAAAAAGCCCAAAAAAAGAAGCGCAGATAAGTAGTAAAAAGACTTCATTGAATGAATGTTTTGCTAAGTTACAGTTAACTTAGCAAAGTCTTAATTATTTACCAAATGGTCGGACCCCAAAAGAAACGTTAAGTGGCCGAAAAGAGCACGATAGAAGCTTTTTTATTCATCGCTGGTTATACATATATATTTTTATATTAAAATTTTGCACTCTGAGCCCCTTTTGTAATATTTTTTAACTAATTAATTATAAGGGGCAACACTCTTCAAAAATATTTTCGAAACCAATCGTTTTTAGCCTCTTTTTTTTGATAGTCATATTTTTGTAATATTTTATTTAACTTATTAAATCACAAACATACCCTAGACTTATTATTTAATTCACATTTAATATCTAAGCTAAATATTTATTTTCGTTTTGTTTCAGTCCCGCCAATGATTACAGTGCAAAATCAGCTAATAGGCGCAGTGGAAAGTAAAGGTGTTACACTGGAATGCCAATCCGAAGCTTTTCCTAAGTCAATTAATTACTGGACGAGAGAACGCGGGGATATAGTGCCACCAGGTGAGTAAATAAGCAGAAATAAAAATAAAATGTAATTTTTTAATTAAAAACTGAAACTTCGTAAAAGTCAGAGTACAGAGACAAACAAAAATTGTAGCCCCTGTTATCACCGCAGATCGATAAAAGATTGCAGGGAAATATCTCTCATTTAGCACTAGTAATTTTTTGTGACGAAAATGTTTAACTGTAAACTTTTTCCCCTGCCAATTAACTATGCCACAATTCAGTTGCAAACTTAATTAAAATCATAAATGTATGCACACGCTCACCGAGTTCACATAATATATGTGCCAGCGATGATATAACTATGTAATTAAAATCACTGTCAAGACAATGTGTGGAAAAGTTCAAGCATAACTGCCATAGCGCAAATGTCCACACGTTGACACCTCAACATGAGCGTAAGTGATGTGCACACACACACATATACACAACACTCACACACACACACACACTCATAGGGCAAATGGCAACAAATAATTAAAAATATTTATGTATTGTTACGATTATCCTCGAAACCTTGAGGGATTACCCAAATATACT